ATAAGGTAGTTGCTACATCCCATCATCTTACAGATGTGGCTATCGGTGTCTTATTACTAAAAGAGTGTAAGCAGGAAGGAGAAGATATTTCATGGCAGAAGAGACATACACACACTCTCTTCTACCATAAATACCTAGTTGCAAGCATTTTTTTTAATTTCAACTATAGCTCCACTTTAAAAGGGTCTCATACACATGAAACAATGATGCATAGAAAACACATGAAAATAAAGCCACGCAAAATGCCAAGTACAACATATGAAGGAAATATTATTTAAGAGCACAGCTTCCTTTCATAAATGGACAAAAATGGTACACAAGTGTTCCTGAAAGGTAACTTACCTTCTCTCTTTTTTGTACAATAACAACACCACCAGACAGGCGACGAGGATCACTAAAAGAATACTGAGAATAGCTCCTACAGCTTGGCTTCTGCCAGACAGGCCTTGGTATTGATTCTGATGCTCTCCATCTGGCTTGTCTGTAGTACTTCCAGAACTCTCTGGCCTGCCATGAAAATGTAGCAACAGTAAAAAAGCTAAATCCAAGAATACAAGGTATCTGCTACGCTTTGACAAGGGTTAAGAATGATAACGAAAAACTAACTGTAACTAATATTTTAAGAAAATTGAATACAAAACAGGAAGGAAATACGTTCCCAACCCGCTTCTAAAATCGCCTATTATAGCAAATTTAGCAGAAGTGCACATTAAGGCATTTACACATGGGGGTTATTTCACTTAGCAGCAGCATTCGTGCTCAATGATGCAACACTTACAGAGAAGTGAAACTGTTACAGTTCAACTCTCAGCAGATAAAGACACAAAGTAACACAGCTCCGTATACATGAGTACATAACTAAATGTAAGTACTTGAATTTGATCTGGTATCACCTCATGTAATCTCCTATAAAGCAGAGTTCAAACTGGGAGAAGGAGAAGCAGCACAAGGGTCCAGTCAGATGTGCTGCAGTCATCATGGGCTAACAAGGGCAAAAAACAGCCAAAAATAACATAAAAATGAATTAAACTATAAAATTACAAAACCAGATTTTGCTGCAATATTCACCTTCAAGCCAATGCAGTCACCCCTGCGGTATTCTTCACTGCCACTAAGCATCACTCAACCAACTGCCGCAGAGCCCAGGTCATCCTGAACCAGCCCCAGCCTGTTACTGGACAGTGAAAGGAGACGAAGCACAGGGATGAGCTCATCTCTCTGTTACTGTCTCCTGTTATTAGCATGATTCTTGTCATCACATGAACTGATTGGCTCTGCTTCTACCTCTCATGCTCTATCCCTGCTATACAGGAACTGCAAGAGGCTGAGAAGTCAAATTCAGATACTTGCATTGCTTGCATTTCAAAAATGTATTTAAACTATTATTAATTACAGAGCTGCATTCATTTGTGTCTTTTATATCTGCCTAGAGTTCAGCTTTAAACTTCATACTTTCACTTAAGCTCCAAAGTATTGGAAATGATGTACACTGAATAATAAATCATGATCCATAAATAATTGCATGAATTGCCATTCTTTTTTTAACCCCATCCCGACCGATGACGGGATTAATCCTGTACAGATTGTTCAATTCGTCAACTACCAGTGACGCGGTAATACCGTCATTGGGTACAATGAGCGCTGGTCTGTGAAGGGACCAGCGCTCATTGAGTTAATGCTGTTGATGGGTCCCTCGGGGTCTGAGACAGACCCTCAAAATCAGATTAGCTGGTCCCAGTCCTGTAATCGCAGAGCCGTGACAGTCACAGAGGAGGCAGCAGCTCACTGTGTTGTGAATCTGCGAGCCTGCTGTGGGTTACAAAAGTAATACAAAGAATCTCTGAGAATACTGTATTTTATTCAGAGATACTAAGTGTCAAAGCCCTTTAAATAAAAAATAACCTTTGCATTCCTTAATGAGAATTACCCGTTTTCTTTTTTTTAATCAGTTTCTTTCATTGCAAATCACACTTTACCAGTCAGTCACATAACTTATATCAATTAACTTGTGCAAATCCTACCTTTCTCCCCAAAAAATGTAATTTAGTGCCAAGGGCTGTATATATTTCGACAGTATAATATTTAAATCAGACTTAGAACTTAAAGCTATTTCACCTGCTGCACCATGTTAACAAAAATTTTAAGTGATGATGCACAATATTCATTTAAATATTCCCTTCATGAAAAAATTGCTCCAGGGCTCCCAGTCAAATGAGTAATACTGATCAGCCACTGCCAGTGGGAGAAATCCCTCTCCATAAAGTGCCACTGACTGAATGGCTGAGCCTAAAAAACACAGCACAGACCGGAAAAATGCCTCAGAACTGATCACAAGAACAGTCACAGGTGGGAGCCTTGAGCTGGTCAGAGTCCAGATTTATTATGGAATTATACATTCAGACACAGAGCAATCCAGGTCACCGTTCTTTAGGTAGAGTAGGGGATGGCTCAAAGCTCTATCAAACCTTTATTTCTGTCTGAGTCCTTGTTATAGATTGTACCTTACCTACTGTCTGATAAAGTACAAGAAGTGAGGAAAAGGGTTTCTAATAGAGCACTGGATAGCAGCAAAAACCTTTGGAACATCCAAAAGAAGTCCAACTGAGACTACCTTTGGGAAGAAGCAAGTCCTGGGCCTCAACACCACCTTGTCCCTATGCAAGACCAAAATGGTTCTTTGCAAGAAAAGGCTGCCAGTTCAGACACTCGCCTCACAAAGGTAATGGGTACAAGGAAATCCACCTTGTAGGTGAGAGCAGAATATCTCTAATGGGTTAAAATAGTGGTTTCTGGATAGCAGAAAAAAAAAACATTCAGATACCACTGAGGGCAAGGGGAACTACAGAGTGGTCCTGTACAAAGGTTTTAATCAAAGAGAGGCCAACGGTCTCTATAACAAAATAGAAAGGGCAGACACTTGACCCAGATAGTGCTGAGAGCCAAATGCTGGTCCAAATCCAGTAGCAGGAAGGAAAGGATTCGTCCCAACAGAAAAGCTCCTGGGTTGGAAATCTTGAGACTCACACACAGTGAAGTATTCCTTCTACGTCCAATGATGGACCCTGCGGTAAGTAGACTTCCTTAATAGACTTCCTGCCTTCAGTTAATGCCGGGGGCACCCGCTATAGCAGGACAATCCACCATATGTGTAGAACCAGACATGCTGCGGCTAGGTAAGTTGACAATGGGTCTAACCCTTCCCCACTCTATCCAAAACTTACAAAAAAAGGGGTTGCCTCAAAACACTTTAACCCTTTCGCTGCCAAGCCCTCCGGAACATTTTTCAAATCAGCTGGCCAAGCCATTTTTGAATTTTCTGCAATTTTTTCCTATTGAAGTTCATTCATAACTGGGGACACATTGTAAATAACTGGCGACACATAGTACTAACACCGGAGTGATCAGACGATCACTCCGGTGTTTGCTCTGCACAGAGGGATCGTTAAATATCATTGATATTTAACGATCCCCCGCTCGGTCACGCTACACAGAGCCGCTGTCATCCAAAAACTGACAGGATGACAGCGGCTCAGAACAGAAGACGCTCAGCCATCCTGAAATGCGGCCAGCCGCCGCTCGTTCCCGGGACCCCCCCGACCCCCCCGCCGGTGATTTTTGTACGGATCCCCGCTGCCACAGACCCTACAAGCAGTGGGGATCCATGGAGTCATTCATCCCTCCCTGGGATGGCTCCAGGGAGGGATGAGAGACTCCAGATGCCGGCGGCGGTGCCGGGGTTGGGGGTGGGGGCGCCCGGTATTTTTGATAATAGCGGTCATCAGCGGCTTCTGAGCTGCTGATGACAGCTATTAATTTAAAGGGGACAGTCTGCTGAACAGTTATACTATAAGCTGATGGTCGCTAAAGCGACCATCAGCTTATAGTAGAACTGTAAATGCCAGGTCCGTATGGCATACTGACCTGGCCAGCTGGAAGCACTTTTGTAGGTCCGTATGCCATACGTCCTTGGCAGCGAAAGGGTTAAAGAAAACTTATTTGCGTTTTGGATGGAGTTGGCAAGGCTTAGAACCTTTGTTAGGTTTTTATTGCAATCTGTCTCCCATTGGGGTGGCGTCCTCTCACTTCCAGTCCTGGAGACAAGGTGCCACAGGGTGACGACTGGAGGGAGAATATCTTCAATGTGTACAGAAATAGCAAGAAACCATGATTTCTTTTTCTGAAGTATAATTTTTACCACCATCGTCTTTGGCTTCTATCTGTCAAAAATGGTTACACCCCCACTTTATATAAAGCCCAAAGTTTTCTCTTTTTCATTTTGCCTTTCTACAGATGCAGCATAAAATCAATGTTTTATGTTTAATATTCAATAGTGGCTGGTCCTCTGTACAAAAAGTCACTTGATCCTCAGGACTTATGGCTACACAGAATGGTGGCAATATAAAAAGTGAACAAATGAGAACATTAATGCTTCTATGATCCAACTGCTTGAAGTACAGTACATAATTTAACTTTAATGGAAGCCAACCTTATGAAATTGAAACCCTATCAACATTATTCTGTATTATTTACTACATTCCCATCTCGAACTAATGTTACACTACTCATATAAAGACATGCAGAATGTCCAACATATATGAGACGTAATACTTGCAACTTACATCAGTGAACACACGGAAGCTGTGTACCAGGAGAACAAATACTGGCAATCGGCTGTTTCGTGCAGGAATTCCGGTCTCCCTTCCCCCTCGGTTTGACTGCAGTGGAAGAATATGGTGGAAGTTGCATTCTTTTGGGGATCTTTACCACACTTTGAGTTGGAAGTGAAAACGGCTTCTAAACTATCATCTGTGAAAAATAAGAACAGTAGTGGTTAGCAGATAGTGGAAATGAGGAGACTGCACCACATACATTATTGCAAATATATAAACGTTATTTTAAACATTTGCGTGCACCAAATGATCAGATTTGTTTCTTTTTCAAAGGATTGAACCCTTAAGATGCCACTTTTTATAGTGAACCTGTGAGGTTAGAAATATGGGATGGGAGGCTGCCGCTATTCTTTTTTATTTTTTTGTTGTTGTAGAGGGCCTAGACTCGGGAAGCCTTATCCTTCAAATGGTGTAAGACAAAACAGTTGTGAATGATTTAGCAGTCACAGTACAAATTCCGCAGCTGACGTTTGCCTGGAACCATTTTTTTTTAGCCATTGCAGTGTCTCTGTAGAACAGCTCTGTTCTTAGGCAAAGTCCAATGATGACACCACCAATGTAAACCAGTAGTCAGACGCAAGCATGGGCAGAGTATGCCTATCCCGGAGATGGGCTTTAAAAGGAAAGGTATACTCTTTTCAATAAAATGTTTACATAACATGTATAAGAGGCCAGCCTGATTTAAATAAATCATACCACTATGTGTTAATACATTCAATACATTGTTTATATGACAGCTGGCTTGCATTTTTATGAGACATCTGTTATGCTTTACCAATGCGCCCACAGGGACTAAATGGAAAAAACATACCAAATGCAACAATATATTTGATGGTAAACAATGCTCCATACAGTCACTTCGGAATTCAAACACCTTCATCCACATTCTACAAACATGCTTTCAGAAGGAAAATACAAATGCATGTGTAACTATTTTAAAACATAACTGAGTTACGTGCATATCTTCATATGGTCCCAATGCAGGACATACCACGGACATATCTAGACCAATTTAGATGTGTACAGTTTATACTGCTCCAGTGTTAATTATACCGATAAGCCCTGCATTGTGGTTATGGTGAAATTGACCATGTTAAATCAACCAATAAGCATTTCAATTATTATTACCGTACAGGATTTATATAGCGCCAACAGTTTGTGCGGCACTTTACAAAATATGGGGAGACAGTACAGTTACAATTCCATACATGAGTATTAGTAGGACTCTGCTCATGAGAACCTACAATCTACACATCCCCTAAATGACATTCTTTAAACCAATTAATCAATAACTCATCAGCTCTGGGGGGGTCCATTTACAAACGTTTTCACCCAAGGTTTTCACACAGCTTTACCAAAGGATTTCCCCATGTTTGCAGTTAAATCCAATTCAATTGGATAGGAGGCACCAGGCCAGGGGAATGCAGAGGAGAGGCACCGGGCTGGAGGGGAGCTAGTGTGCAGAGGAGGCACTGGGCCGGGGGGCTAGTGTGCAGAGGAGGCACTGGGCCGAGGGGGTGCAGAGGAGGGAGACACGGGGCGGCAGCGCAGGTACGCGGGGCAGCAGTCACAGCTCAGCCGGCTGCACTGGTCTGTGTACCTGCCGATCAAGGCGGGGAGAGCAGCGGGGATTGAAAGGGACACCGAACGCTGCAGCCAGTACCAGCGGGGAGGAGAACGGAGGAGCAGAGCGGCGGCAACTAATCGATGATGAGAAACCTTGCCAACAATTCTCATTATCGATTTAATTGATTAGTTGTTGGAGCTCTATTAGCAATAAAATGGCCAAACGTAAATATTCTGCTGAAGCTCAGCAGCCGACCGAATAAACCATTAGGCAACTCCTAAAGGGTAAACATAACTGTTTATCATCTTTGAAATTACATAGTCTTAAAGAGATGTGTAAAAAGTAACAGAAACAATAAATATATATTTTGTAGTAAATGAGTCAAAGAAATAATAAACTCACCATCAATATAATACTTGGCTTTGTTGGAAGCACCGACTGCTCTTGTGAACTGTCCATTTTTCTTCACTTGGCATACGCTAGCTCCTTTGCAAGTCTGATAGGCAGAGTTTTCTCTACCAGAAAGCTGAATTTCATACATATACTGATCTTTCACCCTTACATCCCCACTGGCATTGTATGATCTACAGATAGAAAATATGTCTGAGTTTAATATAAGTGGTACATAAATACCGAAGAATAAACCAGCAATGTGAACATTTTGAGTCTTAGTGGTCAGACAACATTTGTGTATATGGTGTATATGTGGAGATTTTTTCAGTAAAGCAGGCCAATGAGCACCGATGACCTATAAAATGCAGTAACACGTTACACATTTAGTACAGTGCGCTGAAAAAGTGCTATAGATTCGTGCATAATACACACAGCTCTTTGCCTTACGGAATAAAGCTACGCAGTGAATGTCACTATAATTTCCTACTACTAGTGTTCATCAGCAGAGCATACAGTAATGTAGAAGTCCAAAGCAGACATGCATCCATGCAGACAAAGAGAGACTTTTTTTGAGTAGTGAGACCAAATGAAAAGAAGAAATATAATACAGGTTGAAAATATGTATCAATGTATGTTTGTGAAGTTAACAAAGTGCTTTCAATAAAACAATGCAATACAATATAAAGTCTTACTTGGTATAGATGTTTGACAAGTTCACCCTTGCACCATTGTCCCCACGTATTATCCCTTGTGTCATCACAACCTCATTTGGAATAACAGCACAAGCTGCTCTCGTCTCCCAAGTAATTATGTACTGACAAGACTCTGAGTTATATCTACAATCAATACAAAAAGAATGAAGGTTTTAATGAAAAAAAATGAACTCTATTTAACCCCTTCATGACTGAGGCCCTTTTTTCCATTTTTGCACCCATGTTATATTCCACATTTTAGGCCTGAAAATGACGTAAAACCCCCCAACATTATATATTTTCTGAATGCCAAGACCCTATAGAATAAAATGGTGGTAGTTGAAAATTTTTATGTTGCGCAATATTAGCGCAACTCCTTATTAAACCCCAAAATTTAGTGACAAATTTAATTAAATGCCCCAAAACACAACAAATTACCCATTTTTTTAATGAAATATAAAAGATGAGGTTACAACGAGTAAAACGATACCCAACATGCCCAGTTTACAGATTGCGTGCGACCGTGAAACGGCGAAAAACTGCAGTACCCCAAAAAATCAATAAAAGACACTTTAAAAGCCCCCACAGGTCATCAATTTAGAGATACCCCAAAATACTGGCCCTAGAATTATTGCTCTCACTCCGGCGTGCGCGGCGATACCCAACATGTGTAGCGCGTTCGTCGTTTTCATGCGTAGGCGCACCCGACGCGTGTTTACGTGGCGAAGGAGTCTGTTTAAACAGCCCCGATGCTGGCGACGTACACTGTACGTCGTCAGTCACGAAGGGGTTAAACACAAAAAAACTAACAGAATGTCACCCAAGGCCCCTTTCACGGGATGATCGGAAGAGGATGTCACCTTTGTGACATCTGTGTTTGTCCAAATTTTCCCCCCATCTTGCGATGGAGGAAAAAACTGAAATTACCGGACCCCATGTCTGTCTATGGGAAATCGGATGTAAAGGGACATGTGTCCTTTTACATCCGATTACCCCTGATCCGGCACACTCAGGCCAGGTGAAATGGATCTCTGATCCGTTCGTTTTTCCGGACCTGGCTAGAGGCAGAGGTAGTCGCGTGTAAAAGGACGCCCATCCTTTTACACATGGCTGCCCATCGATTTACAATGGGCATCCGCCTGAAAAACTGACAGCCGGACCTCATCAGACCACCCATGTGAAAGGGGCCCTACTATCAACGACAGGATCATTTTCTGTGTACTCTAGCCTTAAAGTATATATAAACCCAATCACTAAAATCACAAGCAAACGTCAATATGTTTTAACATGTTCAATTTTAAGTCATCTTAAATATATGTAACAATCTACAGCTTTAATTAAAATAATACCTGGTGAGCCTGTCATGAATGTCTTTGTTTATGTACTTCCTTTTATAGGGTGACAACACTCCGCCTTAGTCTTCCTGCATTGTCAACCTGTCACTAGGGCTTCTCATAGAGACTACAAGTGGCTTTTAAGCACACTTTACATATGCATGGTCTATTGCTGTCACCATCGGGTCCACCCTGAGCAATGTCATTCAGCCATCACTGGACTGCATGCATGTAAATAGAAAGTGGCTTTTTTTTTTTTATTACACAACAAAATACAATTTTATTATTGTACACAGTGCTTCAGCAAAATAAGTGCCATTCAGTTTGGGATTAGATCTACTCTAAAACCTCAGCCAATTCTGTAATAGTATAGCAGATGATTCACTCCATATGGTTCTCTACAAAACCAAGTCTTATTTCCACTTACTTTTTAATCGTTGGTTTTCCAGTTACATTTGCACATGTCAGTTCTATCGTAGTAGAATATCTTTTGTCGTTTCCACAAGCATCTCCACCAGAATAAGTCACTGACACTATATCACCTAGAAAATGCAGAGGTTATATTTGAATGGTTTACGAAAAAGAACTCTAGTGTAATTAAAGTGTATGTCAGATTTGTATCACTATAGACCAGGTGAAAGCAACCGTGGCGCTCCAGCTGTAAAACTGTGGCTGGCAGAGTCTAGTAATGCCTCATGAGACTTGTAGTTCCACGACAGCTGGAGTGCTGAGGTTGCCTACCCCTGCTTTAGACAAATCCAGCCATTATCTGACCCTCAACATCACTGATAGGGAAATGTATGGCTACCGGTGATACCGTATTATAGCTCATAAAATAGAAAAAAAAAGTCAGCACCCCATAATAAACCTCAGTTGTTTATTGAGGACTGAACAAGGCAAAAAAGTGCCAAAAAATGGTGGAACATGTTTTAATACATTTTCTTTGTGACCAGTTTTGTTCAGCCCTCAAACAACGGAGGCTCATTATGGGATGTCGGCCTTTTCTATTTTATGAGGTTTGCATCGCTGTCTGTGTGCACCAAGATTCACCCCATTTGTTCTTGTGACCATTGCCACTGAGACAGAAAGTGATGGGAGATCCAATATACTTGTCTCTAGCACAACAGGTTAGGGTTTATACCAGTGGGCACACCTTTTTCTGGTGACAACTGCCCAAGAGTCCTTAGATCCTCACACGTTGTAGAGATTTCCTCTCACTAGTTTTATTTCTAGCACAGGAAGTAAATACAAATCTTCCCCAATAGGACACAGATAGAAAAAAATAGACAGGATTTTTAAAATTTCCCAAACCTAGAAAATGTTTTGTCTATACAGCAGAAGTTGTTGAATTAATCATGAACCATTAATCTACCTACTCTGCAATGGAAATTAGCAGTTCTCTAGCACTCTTCTTGCACTATTTCATGCTGTTTTGCTACCACAAGTCATGCAGGAGCTGAGCAGGGAATGTTCTAAATGGATCATGTGAGATTGCTCTTTTTCACCTTCCAAATTGCTCTGCTATGAAATGCTCTAGAGCAGGGGTTTCCAACCACCGGGCCACAGACCGGTATCGGTCAATGGCCTGTCAGCAACAGTGCCGCAGCCTCCTCTGCCTCCTGTCAGAATTAGATCATTCCACTCATCCACAGTGCAGAGACGGAGTGATCTCTTCGGCTCTGACATCCCAGCCAACAGAGTGGGAGCCAAGCTGAGGGAAAGGAGACTGGGAGATGTCGCACCTGTGAGGAAGCCTGGAAGACGGCCAACAGCAGACTGCTAGAGCTTGTAAGTGTAAGCAATAGGGCTGTTTCTACAGGCACACTGAGAAGTTACAATGGAAGCTGTTAACCAAGTGCAAAAGGAGACAGGCTAGCTAAGGTTAATCACATAGGTGTCCACTAGTGACCCCTGCAGCTCAGATCCTCAGCTCTCCAGGCCTTGTAAAGCCCAATCAAAAGGATCATTTCCTGTCAGAGATAGCCAAGCTTATTGTGAAAAAACCCTCTGCACCCCTCCAAAGGACTTAACACACCCCTCCTAAAACCTATCACATCCCTCCAGAAACCCTCTAGCTGGAAGTATTCTCCATTGCTGTATAATGTACTTCTGGGATTTGTTGTCCTCTAAAGCTGATGGATTTTGCATCGCTGTATTGCTGGGATTTGTACTCTTCTATAGCTGGTGGTATTTTGTATCGCTATATAATGCATTGCTGAGATTTGTAGTGCTGCGCTTGAATCATCCCAAAACCATAGACTCTAGACCTACTTACGTCCGCTCCGCACCCACCCACTTTTCTAAAAGGGGGCAATTTCTTTCCTAAAGTCATCAGGAGGTTCCTATTCCGGCAATTCCAACAGTTCAATGAAAAGCATGTACAAAATACATTTTGAATTACTGCAGAAATGGCCATATTTAACTTACCCTTCACAGTAACATTCTGTGTGTGAACCTGCCCCAAAACCTGAACTTTGCCGTTCCTTTCCTGGCACACACTTGCACTCGCTGAGCAAGCACTAGGACCCTGGTTCACCCGCTGACAAAGGTTTAGATAATACCTGTACATATTAACAACACAACATATAATATAGAGAAATGTTTAAAAAAATAAATAAAATAATGAAAGTGCATTAGACCTAAAATGTTATAAATCGGATTTGCTAGTTCTCTCTGTAGAAACAGGCAGGATATGTGCATACCTGGGAACTTTCCAAAGTCAGTGGTCTTAGGGGCTAATTGCACATGTACATTGTGCTGAAGAGCAAGCAGTGGTTTAATTGCAATGCATGTATTGTGTGGTGGCCAAGCAAGGGCTAACCAGTGCTGCAGCTTGATAGTGACAGGCATGCGGATGAATACATTTTAGTAATATGGTCCTCTAAACAAATAGCGCTGGCTTGGTCTCACACGTGGAACCATAGTGCTAAACTGTTAATAAATGGCAAATGTGGAAAAACACTTGACACCATACTGTTAAATATGGAAACTGGTTTCTATGGTTAATCCTGCTCTCATAACCGCTTGACCCTTCACTGTCCACTAAAAGCGGTAAACTTCTGTAGTGGCAAACAATATGAATAGAGAGCCATGGATATTTCGCCCAGTGAATGTTATTTGCTTGGCTGCGATGGCACTCTGCTTCTGCCCTGACTAAAGTTGCCCACCCCAGTTTATTTCACACCCGGATTTAGAGCCCAGCTTCCTGCTATCCTATCTAATCCCTGACAGGCTGCCAAAGATTGACACATCTTGCAATGGCCTGTCAACACTGATAAAAATCCGACATTGATAGGTAATTTATGGCAGTTTCCCAGGTTGGATATGTGTACTGTAGGGGAAGGGGGACCTGCTCGCAAAACAATGCTCATCACTACAGGGACTTTCACCCCTTAAATGCAATACCAGCCAGGGACTGCTACTTTCACTTTTATTGTCAAAAAATCACGAATTTCCAGCTTCTTAATATGAAGCAAAATACAGTGATAAAAGTAAATGACATTAAAAGAAAACTATAGCCAAACCTTTTTGTGGCTTTAGTCCTCTTTTGGGTCACATTTACTAATGTAATCCTGTGACCCAAACTCAGTATATAGCGAGCTACTGTCTCTATATGCGGACACTGCAGAGCTGCGCTGCAGCAAGGAAGGATCCTGACAATATTGTTGAGACCCACCCCGCTGCCTGATTGACAGCTGGCTCTGGCTCTAGAGAGGCCACTGTGCCTGTCCCCTCCCCTGTCTGTCCCCCCAATGAGCGCTGGAGGAACAAAGGGGGGGGGGGAGGAATGTCTGTGGGGAGCTGTGACCGACAGTCCCCACTCTCTCCATGAAGAAGGCCGCAAGATCAGCGGTTTCCGTTTGCTCATTCCTCGATCTATAGAGCCGGCGTGTGGCAGCTGCAATGTCAAATGCCAGCTCAAAGTATTGGAAATAATACTTTTTACTCTCCCAATACTTCTCCTTTAAACCTGAACTGAACCCCGGATGAGCAAATATTGTCTAAATACAAGCAGTATGTGTAATCTTGAATCTTTGTGTATTTCTTCCAGATCTGTGCAGTAATACAGTGTGAAACTATTTCTCTAGGTTACAGGAATGCCCAGTAATAAAGACCAGTCAGTGCTGCTCTCTGCATGTGCAGAATGACTGGTGTTGTATCTGCTCCCTCCTGTAGTTTTCTGCAGGCAGCCTGTCATGGGTGGGTGTGCTGGGCCCCTTCCACAGCTCTACTCTCTGCATGGGCTATGTAGAGGACAGTGATGATAACACCGCTACTTTTACAAAGTAATCATTTTTGCAAAGGGATTACTTTTACAAAGTAATCATTTTTGCAAAGGGATTTGGTGCACACAAAGTGGATTCATAACCTTTGTGGCTATTACGAAACATTTAAATGAAAGCTTTAGTGCCCATCCTTAAACTGATTTAATCTTTAAATGACTATAATTATAATAATAATAATAATAATAATAATAATAAACTACTATAATCTATAACATGGAGTGACTTACGTGCTACCATCTGAAGCAAAAGACCAGGATCCAGTCAAGGAGGAGTGCATCCTCAGGTCATAGGTCTTGCGATTGATAATGAACTTGCAATCTAACTTCCTTGGAATACATGCCAGCTGTGTTTTCCACTCAAATGTAGCTGAGCAGCTCTTGGTGTCAGTGACCAAAGCAGGTGCTCCATTTGCAACATCCTCATCACATTTAAAAAAGATTGTAGAACTTCTCTTATCAGTTGCTAAAAAACAAATTTATGACAAAATTACAGTCAGGTATATACCTCTCGTTCTCTAATCGTGGAGATCAGATGTGGCATTACTGTCCATGGTGCAGGTGTCTCGAAAGCCAATTACTAGCTTTCATCTATGTGCACGAGGAGCCTTCCATGTATGCGATTCCCAGATGACACAATTATGGTACGTATACCCTTTAAACCCTCTAATGTGGACACAAATATGAGGGCAAAAACTTGGATACATGCCAAGTACTGACCCCATTGTATTTTAAACTGGAAGAGTCAATAGGCAGATGAGCATCAAAGGGAGAGGTATTGTCTTACACCCTCCAAGAAGGCACCACCTGCCTAGAGATCCTCACTATGTATAATGTACTGTACAGTCATTAATTTCTGTCTTAGAGGATAATAAACATAATATACAGCCCCCTTATATGAATAGCTGAAACTTTAAAAAGGTATATACGAACAGAAATTCTTATTTCTGCCAGAGCACGTAGCGGTACCTCAGTGTTTTGGGCCAACAATCTGGCTTTAGAAAACTACTCTGAAAAGTAATTGATACGCGTTTGTAAAAATTGTGCTATAGGCAGTGTACTTCATAGAAATGTACCTCATAGTGAGAACGTTCATAAGCTTAGTATTCACATTTCTGGAGCTGCCTGAAATAATCAACGGCGGTTTTAGCAAAAATGCATAAATGTCATGTATACGACAAAGGATCTCTAATCTTTCTTTGAGGACTACCACATCTATGTTATGGTTATTCAGTCAATCGAACTGCTTCTCTGGAACTATCCCCCCCCAATGTTCAAATTAAAGTTTAAATGCATAGTGGTTTGTAAATTTTTCTGCATTTAGGTCAGAACTATAAAATATTAAATTCTATGTAAAACCCAAACTTTTTTTGCAAGTTTTGGGTACAGTAGGAAAGGGTTAGAACCCACCAGTTTTTTTTACAGCTCAACTATAAAAGAAGCAGTAAGAGCGACACACTACTTATCAATAAGTCCAAAATTATGTTTAATTAAATCATCAAAAGGAAGAAAGCAAAAACATTTGATAGGGCCTGAGTATTATATGATCTCAAATATACCTGGACTTAATTGAATTGTATTAAAGTGACAAAAAACTCAGGAGTTAAATCTTAAAAATGCATTCGAGTACCTTAACTATTTACAAAAATGTATCTTATTTGTGTATCACTCGGCTGTTATTCCTCAAAACATCTCTGAATTCATGCGGACAGTGTCCTTCCTTCTGGGGGTGGCTACTTTTGTGTGTGCTGTAAAGTAGCCACCGCTCCAAGCTCGCTCCTGCGATGGACTCCAAGCTCACTCCACATTAGCAAAATAATCATGAGATTGTAGTCCATCCAGTGCCGTATTTACTCTCCCTGCCGCCCCAAGGCCAAGTTCCGCAATATGCCCCCCCTTCCCATCAATGGAGAATGGCAACCAGATGGCAGGGAAGTGGGGTTAAATATTAAAGTTGAATTTTTTTTTTTTACTGTTTTTCATTTTTTTTTAATTTCTTCTTATTTTCTTTATCAATGTAATTTTTTTTCCCTACCTAATTTTATTGCCATCACACAGGAGGAAACAATCCCCTGTGTGATAGCCTTTGGAGGTGACAGGTTCTCTTCATTGACCCTGTCACCTCCAATACACGAGTTCTAGCACAGCACTGTGCTGGAACTCCTGTGACAGCTCTCCCCTCTCACTGTCTACACGGAGCGGCAGGGTTACGTTTAACCCTGCCGCTCTGTTCCCTGCAGTTAGGAGAGACACGGCGGCGGAGGACGGAGCCAGCGAGGAGAGGAGGTAAGTGCAGGAGGGAGGGGAGGACGGACCGGCCGGCTGCAGACTTTTTACATGTGATCTCGGCGATCGCCGAGATCACATGTAAACGAACAATCGGCTGCCTCACACTACATTTAGTCCTGCTCGTGCAAAGCAGGACTAAATGTAGAGAGGGCAACTTACCGCCCGGCGCCCACAACTTCCTCCCAAGGACACTGCTGCCGCCTCTCTGTGCCCTGCCGCCTCTCTGTGCCCTGCCGCCACGAGGCCAGGCCTGAGTCCATCACAGGAGTGAGCTTGAAGCGGTGGCTACTTTACAACACACAGGGACCATGGGGAACAAAAGCAGCCACTTTCCAGAAGGAAGGACAGTGTCCGCACCAATTCAGAGATGATTTGAGGATCTACAGCCGAACGATACACAAATGAGATACATTTTTGTTAATGGTTAGTGCACTTTTTAGGATTTAACTCCGGAGTGAAGTGTCGATTTAATATTTATACACAATATGAAATTCTGCCACTAGCAGTTTGTACAGCGTGGAGCTCATGAGAGTGTAGGAACATATAATACAGTCACTGTAGTCCTAGGAATAATCTGTGTTATGATCTAAGAAGAGAGGGTTGGCTATACATTTCCATGAAGTATTATGTTAGCTGAGCAGTGGTGTTTCATGTTTTTTAGGTGTATACAAACACTGCTTATAGCTTGGTCTCCATCCCATATTATCTGCCTAGGTTTAGCTTTCTGCTCCTCCACAAGCAGATCCCAGTAGTACACATCTCTTTACTTACCCAACTAAAAAAATTTAAGAAAAAAAAAAATCCTCAATTAATAATAGGCATACCTTTTGAACAATAAGCCCATTTTCCATTTTTCTCAAAATCTGAGGAGGTAGGACACCATAGCCGATCCTTATCTTCAGAAATACATGTGCTATAAGCTTTTCCTTTATATGTAAATGGCAGGATACATACATCACCACTTTCTGTCACTAAACAATAAATTGAAGAAAAATAAAAGTATAAGAGACAAGATAATCTATTACAGCAAAAAGTAAATCAGAAATATCAGTTGAGAAATTGCAGGGAGGCAGCAACTATGTATTTGTACAGGTTTCTTACCATACTATCATCATTCACACATGGGCTGGGGGTATTACTGTATATGGGTGTACTATTAGGAGTATTTTTACCTGGTGGGCAAGGATCTCCTTCAGCATATTGAAGAACTAACATCTCTTCTAAATGGCGATACTCCATTTTCATTGCCATTCTATTTCCGTAGGAATAAGCAGTGTTCCCTGACTGAAGGCACACAGCGCCATCACATTTACCAGATGGTATTTTTCCTGCTGCTGAACATACTCCAATGTAGTAAGGGTTTAAACCTGAAGTCTGAAAGAAAAGGCATGTTCATATTATTAATGTCCATGTGTAGCACTGGAGAAGGTATGTAGTGCAGTTACACTACACGCACAATTAAAAACCATCTTATACTGCAAGAGGAAAAAGTCTTAATTCATGTGTGGCCCTTGGAGCCCCAATAGACTGATTTCTATAACTAGGTGCTTACTCACACCAGTGAAGGAAGATATTATTTAGACCGAGTTCTAGTAGTTAAATGGTTTAGTTTATTTATTTTAGGCTATGTTACTTTTTTTGTGCTGTCCATCCAGTTTCTCTAAACGTTTACAAGTAGTCTTCCTGTGTAGAAGTACTTTTTAACTGGGTTGTAGAAAGCAATAAAGTGGTAGCCTAGATTTGTCATGGAGCTGTAATAGCAGTGATCCCTAGCAGCCCCATGTAAGGTGTCTCCAGTTTCTGATTGCCTCCTCAAGCAAGTCTCCATATAGCATGTTCGCCGTCTCTTCCGGCATGCCTCCAGCCTTTCACCAACTTCAGTTGCATGTCTGCAGTCCCCGAGAGTTTTTTGCCGAAATACATTCACTTAATATAAAACGCGGTGATATCTGAAGCCAAATCAAGAAAGTTGACTACTGCTGTTCTAGAGGTAACATCAGAACATTTGGAAATCTAAAGTATAAACAGTAACGCATTCCATTCTTCCCATTTGTTTTTTTCAATAAAACACCTTAAAAGCAACCTTTGATTTACCCATGCAGAGCAAAGCAGCAGCTTTGCTTAAAAGCCCCTACTGCCCAGTAGCACATACTTCTCCTTTGTCCCCAAGCTGCTCTATATAGCCGCTGGTGCCAAAAAGAATAAATACCTAGTACTCCAGAAATGCAGTTTTTGACTCAATCCATGTGACAACATTGGTGTTTGGATGAATGGGCCAATGTTAACACATGGAGTGGAGAGTGTCTTCAGACCTGTGTAAGCTCTTGTTGGAGTCACTTAAAGCTTACATAAGGCTGTCTTTCTTCACTTCCAGAGCACCGGGAAGCAAATGAAAAGCAATGTACATCTGTTTTCATGCTGTAACTAGACATGAACACATATAAACACAAAGTCAGTTTTTCTTACTGAGTAGGTCTTCACAGACAGGCTGGACAGGTTAAATGTGTAATGAAGCTGCTGGTCCATCAGGGAACATCCAGATATTATTTCCTCATCCGAGCACACTAATGGTGTGCCCCACTCAAACACATAATTGCAGTCAGCTTCCTGGACAAACTTTGGGCTTCCCTGTTGATAAGGAAAAACAATGCATGCATTACCCAGTGTATATATAATCTAAATGCAAAGTTTTATAGAAGGCTGAAATGATGATTTGTGAGAAATTAATGTAGTTACCGGATCTATCCCCTTGTTGCAACGAAAGATGATGATGGTAGAATAGTTTAACTGTTTGTCCGTATCACATTGTGCCGAGCTGTCCATTTTTATTGAGACAGTTTGTGTTGCAGGGTCAATCTGAGGACTAGTAGGGTGGCCAATATCCTTTAAAGAAATTAAAAACACATTATAACTAGTTTTTTATGTTGTCCACATACTCTGAGCTGTCCTGCACTGATCAAAGTACACAGCTTCTAAAAAATACTGACAATCAGTGTCTTAACAATCGCAATAGCGACCCATGCGGCCGCAATGGGGCCCGGGCATCCCTCTGATGCCATGCTGGGCCGCCTAGGGCGCTATGGCATATCAGGGTGCTGGCTGTCACTGACACAGCACACGAGCAGCTGCGGAGCTGTGTCAGTGACAGCCAGCAGCCGAAGAGGCCGGCGTTCGCCATAAAGGAGGCGGGGCCCATCTAAGAGCAACCCCGCCTCCTCTTACATCACTGGCAATCGTCCTAAGAGCAGGTGGGGCCAGTGATGTAAGAGGAGGAGGGGCTTGTCGATAGAAGAGGCGGGGCCCGTGGAAACTACTAGGAAACTGATATACACTTGTAAGAACAGTGGTCTTCAAATATGAATTCAAAGTCATTTGAAAGTTCTGCATTTCTAAAATAAACTTCACAATACACGCTATAAAAAGATTCTTTACAGATAAAAAATAAAAACTGAGCTGTAATTCTGCAGCATCTAATTAGAACACACTTCCTTCCTCCAATGTAAGAACATACAGACATTCATACTTACAATTGGATCTCCGTTAGATCCGACCCTGCAAGCTGCTGCTCCTGGTGGACATTTTGCACCAACAACTTCATTTAGAGGCTGGCATAAATTTATGTAAAAAACTGCAGAATCAGCCTCGTGATTGCTCTGCAGGACCTCATAAGAACCCACATGCTTTATCAAGGGACCCAGATTAATATTGGATGTGCCATTCTGCACCGAGCATTTCATCTGGGGAAAGAAAGAAAGAATGACCAGACAATGAACAAACTGAAGTTTGGATCTGATCTACAATACACACTAGCAAAAATAATAATGTGCACACCTCTTTCTCACAGACCAGAGACGTATGCCATGAGAACTGCCAGGTACATGTGTCTTCACTGAAGGACACAAAGGATGGTAGGCTGCCAGTTGCTGGGTCTGATCCACACACAAAGGTGAAAACACTCTGGTGTCTGACCGATGGGTTCTTGATGCACTGGTCACCACCATCATAAACTAGCCTCAGCACCTGATCTGAGTAGGTGAGCCGGCTATGGGCCTTTCCTGCATTCCAATGCTTTCCACCTTCCGATACACACACTCCTACAGATAGAAGAAAAAAAAAAAGATTCCAACATATTTCAAAATAGATAATACCAAACACAAATAAAATATACTTTCAGCTTCACTGCCCTGGAACAAATATGCAGCTGGATCATCTGCAGTTTTGAAACAGTTTGGCTTATCCAAACAATCCAAATTTCTATTAATCAGTTTAGCAATCAATAAATAAAAGTTAACGTATATGTAAACCACATCACTAAAATCTCGTATAAGCTTTAACATTTTAAAGGAATTGTTTCTACGATTAGATCTGCAGATTTTTTTTTAAATACTACCTTATGATCCTGTTAAAAAGATAGATACTTCTGCAGGCACTTCCCATTATAGGGTGACAAACTTTTATCCTGCTCTCCAAATTGTTCTATTGTGCTGTCATCCCATCACATGTTCTTCCAATAGAGGAAACTATAAGAGCCATGCCAACATATATTATGAAGGCATGATGCACCGTTGCCCCTTTTAGATAACCTGTCCTGAGAAATGTCATGCAGCCATCGCTGAAGTGCATAAAATTTGAGAGGAAGTGGTTGGAAAGAAGTTACAGGAGATCAGCAGCATTAGGATTCAGCAAATGATGAAAAAAGGTGACATTGTATTTTAACCACTCCAGCTCCCATACCTGTATACCCCTTAAGGACTAGAGCATATTTTACATTTCCAATAACTTTGTCATTACTTTGAGAACTATGGGGTAAGGGCTTTTCCCCATAGTTCTCCTAAGGGTAACGGGAGGACACAAACTGGCGTCCTCCCGTCACCATTTATTTGCATTTTCTTGTTTTGTGACACTAAAAAAGTAACAAACAGAAAATAAATATTATTTATACAAAAAAAACGAAGTAATTTAAAAAAAATCTGATTAACCTCTTGCAGTCCGCCCGTAGTAGAAAAACGGACGGACGGCACTGCTGCATCTGCGGGTTGCCGTCTCCAGACGGCAATTTTTTTCTGCTCGCAGTATTCCTGTTTAAGCCCTTGTTGAATTTAAAGGGTAAGTTCACTTTTTCACAAAATGCTGCACTTGCATGTCTGAAGTTCCCTCCAGCTGATGTAAGTCTGTACACCAGACTTTCAAGCCCCACAGAATGGATTGCTCATAATGCCATCAACTGGTGAGCTCTCATTGGTCAGCACGGTCATATGACCACACTGACCAATCAGAAGTGCTTTGGTATCCTCCCCCCGGCTCAGAAGTGTGGTCATGTGACCATGCCGACCAATGATCGGATGCCATTTGCAAGCATTATAAGCATTCCATACTGCAGAGCTGGAAAGTCCAGTGTGTAGTGTGTAGTGTACAGACCACTACACTGGCTGGCGGGGATTTCAGACATGCAAGTGCTACGGGGGCTGGGAAAGGTGGTGGAGTGCTGTGGGCAAGTCACATTTTTCACAATTTGTAAGAAAGTAAACCCTTTGAAGAATAAAAAGGGTTAAAGTGGTATCACCGTATTTACCATTTCATTCATATGTAGATCACCTTCAATCTCCATGTAAATTAAATAGTAAGTGCAATGAAACAATACTTTATATTGTAACGCACTGCGCAAACTGTTGGCGCTATATAAATCCTGTATAATAATAATTGTATTTACTCAAGGACACTTCCCCTATGAAATATAAAAAGAGCATGTATATATTTTTTTTTTTTTACCAGAAAACAAAAAATCAGCCCTATATTCCAAAAATAAGAACAAAACGAAACTACAGAAAATAACTGTTAATCTGTCAGAAATCCAGCAAGCTCCTCCTCTGCTGCAGTGAAATTCCAACCATTGGTATCTGGCCTGCACAATTCTCCCTTTGGATTATAGAACAACTCTCTATAAGCTATGACTATAAGGAGATGGGGTGAGGTGTTCTGCAATCCAGCAGATGAGAACTGGTTACAGGTGACACCACTGCTTGGGATTTCAATGCAGCAGAGGCAGCGTTGCCAACTTACTACAGAAGTTGGGAGCACACTAAATTTCTGGCACATTAACAATTTTTGTTTTTGTGCTTTTATTCTCTTCAATCATCAAAGCTCCTGTACCTATTTTTTTTTTAAATGGAATCCTTCCCCGTTTACTGACTAGAGGAAGAAAAAGGCAGCCATTCTTGCAGGCTGTTTTATTTTGCAAATGTTAATGAGCACTCATAATGTATATCATGTATATGAAACCTGTACGCAGCAACTTTAATCAAACCTTTCAACCCTTTTATAGCAGGATACGTGACTAGCTTTATTAGCCAGAAAACCCTCTAAAATAATGGCTACACTTCAGTTGTGGCTACAGTCCCAGCCGGCACACATGCTCCTCAGAATACCTTGAACTAGTACTTTTTAACAGTACAGATTAGAAGAGAACACTCCAAATGTCACCCCACTTTATATTCAGGCGATGTCACACTTACCAGCTCCAGAATCGCAAAGCTCTGGCTTAACACCAGTGCAAATATTCAACTTTATTGATCTTTCACGATCCCTAATAACGTAACCGTCCTTGCTTAATAATGATGACAGATCAAAAAGATAACCTGGAGAATAACAATTGCATTAGTCACAGGCAACTAATAACAAAATACATAGATGGCAAACAACTGTTTAAGAACAACTGAAATCTCCTGTTTGACAGTCTAAACATATCCCAAAACCAGTTACTATGTGACGGACAAACCACACCAAGTAAAAGAAAAAAAAACAACAATTTGCTGCCTGACCCAAATTTTCCGTTATTTATGTCTCACATACTCTGGCTTGAAAAGTGGGATGTTTCAGCAACAGAGTTAATGCCGTCAAGCCATGGGCAGTGCTAGGTGTGGTCAGGTATTGAATGACAGTACCTGACCACAAGCTACAACAAGCTACAGACTTCTGAATCACCATTGCCTGCAAAATCTTCCCATCCCACTGTAGTGCAAGCAGGCACAGGCTACGAGAGTGACAACGCTGCAGAATTCAGGAGCGGTGCAGTATTGTTGCCACATGGGGCTGCATTAGGTGGACTTCATTGGCAGCATCAACAGGTTTTTGTGGGACCTTGCAGGGGAACTATGTAAAAAATGCAATGAGACTGTCACAGGTCGGCTCAGTAGATCGTGAGATGAGCGAACACATACCGGCGTTCGCTCACCTCTCGATCCTGTCAAGGCTCTCTGCCGTGAGAGGGGCTGGATTCCCCCCCTCCCCGCTCTGATCCTCCAGCGCTGACTGGCGGAACGGACGGGGGAGGGTACAGCTGGCTCTGCCTCTAGATAGGCAGAGCCAGCTGTCAGTCACGCAGCTGGGCGGATCCCGGCACAATTGTCGGGATCCGCTTCAGCGTCTCAGTATGGCAGGGCATGGCAGCTCTCAAGGTTGCCAGTGTACTTATTTCAGCTCTCAACCAAATTTTCAAGCCTTCAGATGGATATCACATGTGGAGCACCATAGCCTCTCTTTGTAATGCACTTGCTAAGATGGCACCTTCCCTGGCTGTAAGGGATAGGAGGCTGTAGTTCCACTTTAAATTTTTGTGACAATTTAATTGAGAACAAAAGTAATATTATATATATATATTTATACCGAAGCAAAGAAGAAATACCTCAGTATTTTTTGGTACTGTAATTCCTGTTTGTAATTCAAGACCAGCTTCAGTTTCCAAAGCACTGACGAAAAAAGCACTAGGCCGAAGCCTTCCGAGTTTGCTGACGACTGTATATATGCTACGATTTATTTATGATGCAAAATAATATATTTCTTCTCCTGGGAGAAGACTTTTTAATACAAAACTATGACCTTTTTTATACAGAATAGAATAAATTATGACTTTGTACTGAATGTTGCCTCTTTGTCTTGCATTACTTGAATATGAATGTAATATAGATATATATATGTATATATATATATAAAAAGTAAGATATCCACATACTTCTATACCAATACTATGTACAGCCTTACCTGTTGCAGGGTTTGTAACTTTGCAGTCATCGTGTGTATTTATCTTCAGTTTACAGGCGGCTGGTGTGATCCACAAAAAGTTATATTCACAGTCGTCTAAAGCTGTAATCAGCTGAGGTTTGGAAAACTGCCAATAACATTTAAAGTCATAGTTATCACCAATAAAACACAACCATCAATAGAAAACATGAAGCTCAGCACCATCACAGACTGCATTTATGAATGAGTGAGCAGAGGGGGCAGAAACACAACGCCAGCACTGGTGTCAGTCATAGCGGCACCGCTCATGTTTTAGCGGTGCAAAAACAGCAAGAGCTATATTATTCAGTGGAATTAAAATTAGTCAGTCAGTTTCACATGCGTGGAGAAATCATACACTAAATACAGTAACTAAACTGCAGTGACAAATGCATTGGGGGGAATTTAACAAAACTGCAGGCATTTCCTGTAATAAAGACCAGTCACTGCTGCGCTTTTGCTTTGTGCTGAGTGACTGGTCTTGTATCCACTGCCCCTGTAGGTTTCTGCAGGTACATTGTAGTGGGAAGGCCTACTGAATCCCACAGCTCTGCTCTTTTCACCCGTTTTGTGCAGCCCAATGATGAGATCATTACTATTTTTACAAGGTAGTATATGAGTTTGTAAAGGCATGTGGTTAATGAGTAATATGTAGCGATGGAGGCGCTCTCTGTGTCTTGTCTTGCAGTGCTGAGGTTTTCCTAGAACCAAGTGAGAGCTGCCTCGTTAGCGTGATGCATCACGATCATTGCAGACTATCTCCTTTGCACTTACACCGCTGGCGCTGTGTTAAAGATTGTCTAATGAGTAATATATTTGAATTAAAGTTTTTATGCAATGTCCCACCATTCAAAAATACAAAGGGTAACAATGATATTGAACTTTAATATGGTGGGAATACCAGTACATGAACAGCAAACCTACTATCAGGAGCACCCAAACTATTTAGGCTATTTGCAGGCACCTTTTGGTGACTGTCCTATATGGCTGGATTATACACAATTCAGATTCACTTTATTGGTCAAGGGGAATGGTACACTTTAGGTAAACCACCCAAACTCCCTCCTCCATTGCTGTAGCCCATCTCAAAGATCAGTGAAAACATGTCTCTGGTTTCTATTGAGCCGCCTGCTCTGGGCCACTATAGCTTCTATTTATTCCTGGCCAAATACCCCAACTATATGGCTGGATTTAGTTAAGAATTGAGCTTATGGTGGGGTCACAGTCCCTATCTTTTAAAGAGAACCAATATAAGCAGGGCTTATTAGAAATAATAATAATAATAATAAGTCTTAGTTTTTTATACCTGGACAGGTTTACTTAAAGTATAATTAAACCCTCCGGTGTTTTTGCATATATCTACTGCTAGCAAGCAGTAGATATATGCAAAAAGTGTAAAAAAAAAACAAAACACTTTAAAAGCGGTTTAAACTTACCTGTGTCTTCCCCGCGCGCTCCCGTCCAAAAATGTGAAAATTCTCGGGCGGCCGCAAAGCATCTTGATCTATAACTTGAGAGCTGCTGCCCTGTCAATTGCATGACTTCATATCAAAAAAGCTGATATTATGGTCAAGAATGTAAATTGTACACGGAGCAGTTGGGAGACCATGTGTGAGGCCAGGCAGCTGACAAGGCAACAGTATATGGGATCCCTGACCATCAAGCTAAAAAGGTCAGACTCGGACAAAACACATGAAGCAAAAGGTAGGGTACACATATAAAGCTTTTATACTTATGTCTACATGGCTATATAACTGAATATTCAGTCATGGTTGCTTCTATTTAAGACAGTAGTTTCAGATTGTAGGATATCTAATGCTCACAAGACAGTCTGGAAAAAGCGTAGCGATGACCGAATGCTATAACAAATAAGCTGGTAAAAGGCACGTGACTTACGACTTGGTTTAAATCGCACATGAAACGTATGGTGGCTGTCCTGTTCCTCAAACCATCAGGACAGCGGTCTCCATTTGTATACTGAAGGACAGCAACACCATCGTCCCATCTAGGACTGGATGAAGGTTTTCCCAAACTTATAGCCTTTGTACCATCAATCAGACAGGCAGCAGCACCATATGGACAGGAGGCCAGTCCTAACCAAAAGAAAATTTGGAAAATTAGAGAGCCTTAATATTTCTGCCTAATATGCTCTTAACTTCAAAACATTTTTTGTGTTCTTAAGATGGTTTATTTTGTAATTCTCCTTTATGAAAGTGATGTTTGCACTTTTTAGATGCACGTTTTAGGAATGATTTACATGCATTACCACTGAACTCAATGCAACGTGTCCTTTGCTACAAACCGCATAAAAGATAAAGCAAGCACGACATTTTGTTAATGCACCTGCAAGGCACTTAATGGCAAAATAAGAACAGGGAGATTCCAAATCTATATCTAAAGCTGCCCATACACTGCAAGATGTTTCTTGTTTAGCCCTATGGGTCCAACATGAAAAATCTATTGATTCTCCCCCCTGCTGGCAGCTGCCACTTGCAGCTGTACATGAACCGTGGCTGCAGCTCAATGGCTGACCTATTTCCACCTAGCTCTTTTAACAAAAATTTATTGAAATATTGACTTTTGTTGAGTCGGGTGATGCCAGCAGCGCCACCCATGGATCAAATTGTGGCCAATCCGCAAGAAATGGCCAAAATTCAATCAATGGATGGCCAGCTTTAGGAAGACAAATCTGGCCACTAAAAAATCAGCCTCAAAGTCTGCCAAAAGTCTGCACGCTGATTAAATTGGGTGCACGACGTAAGCAACAGGGGTTGAAGCTTCCATCCGGTCTCCTTACCCAGATTCACGAGCTCGAACTCCTACACAAACAACGCCAAGACCCGAACCTACTGACCCAACTACGAACCTTGCGGGATTCCCTACGTAATACATACCTAGACAGGGCCAAGGCCACGCTCTCTAAATGTCGCAGGCACTTCTATGAATATGGCAACCAATGCAGCCGCTCCCTGGCGCAGGCACTCCGCCAACAGCGTTCCCGGACCTATGTACCAGCGGTCAAATCCCCCAGTGGCAAGATGTGCCATCTGACGGAGGATATTTCCGCTGCATTTAGAGATTACTACTCTGCCCTCTATAACCTCCCGAGGCCCCAGACAGCTCACTCCCTGACTAGCCGACAATTCCGCATCCGAGCATATCTGGAGGCTTCTGCCATGCCGAAGTTGGCCCCGGAGACTCGGGCCTCTCTGGAGGAACCTATCTCGGCTGTAGAGCTCGAGACCACCATCAAACAATCGAACACCGGCAAAGCTCCGGGCCCGGACGGATTTACCCAACGTCACCACTAGACCATGTGGCGACAGAGGGGTCCCGCTGGGTGTGCCTTAAAGGGGAAGGTGGAGAGACCGGTTCATATCACTGGTAGTCCTGCGGAGCGAACGAACTCCTCGTGGAGATTCGATCTCCGGTTGTCCTTTATATATGTATATCCACAGTGTGACTCCTTTATGGACGGACGTGTGATTTAAATCAAGTGAATCAAATTAATTGAATAATGAACATGCATGTTTAAATGTCCTTACCAGATTCAGGCACTAAAGGCTTGCAAATATTTAGATGGTACTTTCGGTTTGAGCCAGAGAGCACTTCGGCTTCCCAGTTTTCAGTGTAATGTGATAGTGCAGACAGGTCATATGAATTCCCCACGGTGTCCCTTTAAAACAAATTTATAAAAAAAAAAAAAAAAAAAAGGAATGAAAATATTAACTAAATATAAAAAACACCACAAGAAAACATGTAAGCATTTAAAAAATCATAAATGATACTGTGATCTTCCACATCTTTCTCTAAACTCTACTACTAAACCACTCTGAAACCTTGGCTAATGCCAGTGTGCCCCACTGGGCTGGCATATGTATCCACCAGGTGGTGGGCACCAATAATCGGTTACAAGCGATAACAACTGTACGTTACAATGGATACAACGTTTGGGTTGTGTTATTTACTTAACCACTACGAGCTGTTACCATTACTTGCTTGTACATCAAATATCACTGCCTGTTATGGATACATGTGCTCAGCCCTCAACAACTTATATGCCTAAAGGAATTTATTGCATTATAACAAACAAGGGGCACACTATGACAGCCTGGCATATATATCTGCATAATTATAGATAGCAAATGTTAGACGCTATCAAGGATCTGAGTACTTTATAATATACTTTTGTCGTCACCGATAAACAGAGGCTCAGACCGCAAACCTAATTGTTTTTTTTCTCTCTACATGAGATTGATGTCTTAACTCTTGCAGAGGATACTCCTGTTATACTTTTATACTCCAATAAAAAACTATTGAACTAAAAAAAAAAAAAATCATAATGATAACTGACAGCTAAAAATGTCATCCAATATACAAAAAAGTGCATCATCACTCTTTCCTAATGTATGCTAGAAATGACCTCATAATGGTTTTACTGCAGTACAGACCATGTAAACTCAACCTGAGGTATATTTAACAGACCTAAAACCTGAAATTAATAGACTAAATAACACATTGTTAGTTCCTCCACAAACTTAAGATAAAGAAATTAAAAATGGTTTTTAAAAAAAATGACATTTGGCTTACTTGAAGGAGCAGTCAATGGGTTTGAAGGGAGGGCAGGCAAGCGGTGTGCGCCACTGAAACATGTATATGCAGTCCGTAGTCTCTTTCATAAAAACAGGCTGAAATGATATGATAAATATAAAAGTATGCTGGATGTTCATGTGCATGTGTGTATTTACTATGCATTACATTGGGGTATCCCATTATCAAGAATGAATTATTCCCTCATCACATTAAGTGAAATAATCCTCATATTAATTTCTGGTTCATATAATGAATAATGACAATAAAACTAATCAGTAAATAGAAGTACTCCCTGTAACGTTTTTGTTTCCATTTATGGAGGGACACAAGAAATGTTAAACCTTTGAGATGTCCAAAAGCAGTCCAAATGAGAGGTGGGCAACACAGCAAACAACTGCCAACAGGCCCAAAGTAAACAACAGAAAACAAAACTGACGCACGCCCAAGATGGCATCAGATGAGGCAAAAATGTCCACCTGGTAGAACTTCAAGAACATGAGAATAGAAGACTAGGTGGTAGCCTTGAAAATCTGTGGAAGAGATGCCGGATGACTTAAAGCCCAAAAGACACTCAGTGCCCAGGTGGAGT